ATGATAGTGACGTGGCTAATGATGACAATGACGATTACGATAATGATAATAACTGATGAAGTTGACGATGAAGATGACTATAACACCGACGATAAAGATGAACAATTTGATAACAACGGAACTAAACCAACTGCTCCGCCCTCACCCCCCCCTTCCCTTCGCCTTTAGGTCCTGGACAACGAGAACGGAGAATTCGCCTTTATCCACGACGCCTCCGAGATCCGCTACGAAGTGTACCACAGCTGCGACCTGACGGAGGTGGGAGAGCCCTTCGCCGAGCAGCCGTATGCCATCGCCGTGCAGCAGGGAAGTCATCTGCAGGACGAGATCAGCAGGGCGTGAGTGATGGGGGGGTCTCTCTCTGTTTTTCTTTTTTTCTCTGGGTTTCTCCTGTTTTCTTTTCTTTTTTCTCTCTCTCTCTTATTTTTTCCTTGTTCTTTGTTTCTCCTTTTTTTTTCGTTTCTCTTTTTCTCACTTTATCTCTCTTTCTTTCCCTCCTTTCTTCCCACCCTCTCAAAGGCTCTGTCTTCCGGGCTGTCTTCTCTTCTCTCCTCCTCTGAATTTAATTCCTTCCCTAATTTATCTGTAAATCATCACATTTCAAATCTTTATTCTTGGTAAAGATATCAGTATGTTATGAAAAAATATGGTGATGATAACAATAACAATAAAGTAAAGGGGGAATAATAATCAAAATATAATGATAGTATGAAATAGAAGAAGCACAAAGTAGAACAAACCAGCGGTAGCCCCATGGAAATAATAATAATAAAAATAAAAATAAATAATTAAATGAAAGAATAAGACATAACAAGATTAAAAAATGGAAAGAACACAAAAACAAACAGACACACCTCTGTTCCATCTTCGCAGGATTTTGGAACTGCAGAAAGACCGGTACTTCGAGGCTCTCTCCGCTCAGTTCTGGAACTCTTCAGCGCGCGGCATTTGTCCCAATGATAACGACTCTGAGGGCATCACCTTACAGTCCCTTGGTAAGGTTTTCGGTCTGATGCCTTGGGTTTATCTTTGGGCTTTGTTACTGTTATCTTATTGTTAGGTGTGTCTTTCTCCCGTTTTTTAAACTGTTTTTTCATATTGCTTTTCCTTTTTTTTTTCTTTGCATCTTATTTCAGTGTTTCTAGTATCTCGGCTCGTTCCGTATTTGACTTCGTTTTCGCTTTTTCTCGCTTCGCCTGTCTTTGTCTTTGTGTTAAGTGGCGTCGATTAATGTAAAATAAAATGTTTTTTTCTTAAGATTCAAGTTCAATGCGTTGAGATCTTTTGAATGGCTAGAAGGAACATTTTAACATTCTCTTTTAGAGTATCTTTCACAATTTAACCGATAACTTAGAGCAGTAGTGTCACAAAACTTACTCTCAACGCGTGGACCCATCGAAAGACACCCTATATCAGTGGAAATGTTTTATTTCTATGTTTTATGTCGTCCTTTGGTGTTTATGGCTGTGTTTGATATCTAGACGTGCTTCAGGTACCTTTGTAGTTTTTGTATTTTTTTCAGCTCACTACCGGCCCCTCATTTTTTCTACCTGGTTATCAGCTGTTCTTTTTTATTGCTTGTTTTGATCACAGAATCATCATTGACAGCAATGGTCTGCTCATCCTACAGTACCTCCGTCTTATATTTCATCCTTTGCTTATATATCCTTTGCAGTGTCTTCATTACTGTGCAACACCACAAGACAGCTTTCATATATTATTACATTACTTTTCATTAGAGCACTTAACTAAATTGGTAGCAACAAGAATCTTGATTTTAAAAGTTCATCTCGGCGATTTTTTTTATCACGGTCTGCACCCCTTTCTGTGCACTGCCATTCTCGACTCCACGTTCCCGTCTCGTTATGAAAGAATGTTTACCTACGAGAATATGGACAACTTTTAAATAGAAAATAGCTTACGTATAAGACACTTTTCCCCAATACCATCTCGTTCACGAGTGATTAATAGAATGATATCGATAGTACTAGCAGTGACCTCCTCCAGCGAGACTGTCAAACCTTCATAATACATGATTTGGCAACACAGAGCTTCCGGTCCTCTCTGTTTATCACTAAATAGGGAACCAGTATCAGCATCCCAACCTTGTCGTAATATACGTAGTGGATATTGATTTACCTTTGCCATAACACGGTCACACAACCTCGCTATAGCTTACCATAAAGGGTAGGAATCCCCTACGAAATGTGAAGATCGAAAGATTGGCGAATGGAGGAATAAGAGAATGGTTGTTTTCAATTCCGCGTAACAATTTTCTATAATACGCAGTTTTCTAATAAGACTTTACAGTACAAGCAACGAGTCATTAGAAGATGCTTTGTTCTAAGTACACACACACACACACACATACACAAGCACATATATATATGTGTATGTGCGTATATAATTGTTCTCTGCACACATGCATATTCTGCCTTACAGGAATTTTTCTCATCCGCATTTATTGTCCGAAAATGTTCTCCAAACACTCCATGATCATCAGTATATATTTGAAAAAAAGAGAGAAAAAAAAACTAACTCTCCAGCGAGAAACTGGAAACTAAGTAAAAGCCATTCCAGCATGTTCATCTCATTTAAACTCTACATTTTCTGCCCATAATAAACGAAACCCAAAAATACTGATGGTGTTGTGTCCTCGCTGGCGTGCAGGTGGCGTTTTCATTGCAACGTTGATAGGCCTATTCCTGGCGATGGTGGCCCTGGCAGTGGAAATTCTCCACGAGCGAAACAAGATTTCGAACGGCATTACAAAGGTGGCCTCAGTCACGGAGACAACACGTGTGCACGTTCTTGACCCCGAGATGCCCCTTGTCGCCACTGCATGACCTCGGTGGCGGATTTTGCATGTTTATTTTTTTTCCATAGCCGTGAAACAATGCTCTCGTTTGCGGTGTTTCACGCACACGTACACACACACACACACACACACACACACACACACACACACACACACACACACACACACACACACACACACACACACACACACACACACACACACACACACACACACACACACACACACACTCACATACACACACATATACGTATGTATATATATATATATATGTGTGTGTGTGTGTATGTGTATGAATAAACGTGCATTATATATACACAGTCGTCTTAGAGTGGTTTGTCTTCAGAATCTTGAATGAGTATTTGGAGGCACGGTAGTTCGGGAATGTTTAAAGGAGAGCATGAAAGTGACTAGCCTCAGTCGAAGACAACATTGGAATATTATCCAATTTAAAAGTAGATTATATACAATAGCTTCTTGATCAATGATTCTCAACTTGGGGTAAATATACTCCTGGAGGAAAAAGTACAGCAAGAATAATAGCAAGCTGTTAATTTTTTTGTTTGATTTTCGGAAACTTTTCTTTCATATGTTAATTGGAATCAGTTTCCTTTGTCGTTTAAGCAACGAAGATCAAAGTAAGGAACTGCTTCTGATAATCTTTTTTTCCTATAAATGATTGGATAGCATATTTTTTTATTTTATCTAAAAAAATGCTTCCATAATTGCGCATTAGCTAATTAAGCATGCTAAACAATCGTTCATAAAAAAAAATCTAATTGGGATGAATTTGAGAATCATTGATCTACACGTTCCCTACATAAAAAAAAAAAAAAGAACGGAACCACTGAAACAACCTATGGGATGGTTTTATGTACACAAAACTGCATGCAGAGTATTGAGTAAAACAAGATTGAACATGGTATTGATCTGCCTGGTGTTTGAATGCCTTGAACACGACAAACATTCAGATGAACATGAACCTCAGATTAACCCGCACGTAAACCCATATTCCTCACCAAATATCTTTAGACAAGAAACGAGTAATTTTAGCCAAACCTCAATACTGGATAATTAGATACCGGTTTCAAATTCTAAATGAGTGCTTCCCAAATAGTAGTTTTGAGTCCTGTAATATCTCAGCATTTTATATACCGTATGCATTAAACAACTTGTAGTCATAATTTCCAACTTTATTCGATAAATATGCATCTTGTAGTCACAATTTCTAACTTTATTCGATAAATATGCATCTTGTAGTCACAATTTCTAACTTGTCTATTCGATGCATTCGCCTCTTTTGAACCAATTACCTAGTTAACGAACTAGAATAGAATATCAATAAGCTTTCATCTTTATACCACAGCCTGTAAGGACGGCACGTATGTATCACATTTTTAGTACGTGAGATCTGGAACACCTGCACCAGCGTGGTTAATTGACTTATTTCATTCTCGAAGATTTATAGCAGATGATAACATAATCTGACGCAGAGGTCACGGTGATGGACCTATTAGTAACCCAGTTTAACAAAGCTTAACAAAGTTAATTTAAATAGTTTTTTCTTAATAATTGAAAAATATAAAAAAGAAGAAAAGGATGCATTACGAATTCCACCATATAAATAGTAAAAAACTAAATATTAAAAGATTAATCAAATTTTATAATAATATATTATAATGATAAAGATAATAATTCTAATAATAATAATGAAAGAAAATAAGGATAAAAAATGTTAATGTAAAAAATAAAAATAATGATAATGATAATGAATAGAGAAATAGACAGGGTAAATAAACACTACAGTAAAATTTATAAACTAACCAAACTTTTTAACTTTTTTTTCCCCAACCCAATCTATAGAAACAAAAAGGTTCTTACAACAAAACACATTACCAAGCATAATCCCCAAAAAAGTATAAAGCATAGAAATAAAGAAAAAAAAAGAAAAAAATCATAAACCTAATATAATCTACATTATTCCAGGTGGGGTCTTCATCGCCACACTAATAGGCCTAGCCCTGGCCATGATCGCCCTGGCAGCCGAGGTCATGTACTACAAGCGAACCCCATCTAAGGTCACGGACATCACAGCCAAGATGGCGCTCAAGTTGGACAAGGACCACGTCTCGCGAATTAATGTAACGCCTGTGTACTGAAGAGGCGTGGGCGGGAGACCTGTTATTTTCACCATCTTTCTCTTCTTGTTTTTGTGCAATATTAAAGATTTAGAAGTTGTATTTTTATTTTTAAAAGTGTGTATTTATGTTTGTTTTTTATTATGAGTGTCTGCTTTTCGTTTTGTGATGATGGTTATTATGATTTTTCTTACTGATGTTCTCTATGATTCATGTTGATAATCATTCTTATACTCGTGTGATTATGGTTCTAATTAAATGTATTTATATTTTTTTCTCAGCATTATTGGCATAAGTACTGTTTTTATCACGTTATATGATTAGTGTTGACAGTCCTTATATTCGTGTGATTATGGTTCAAATAGAATGTATTATTATGATTGCTGTTAATCATTTGTTACCATTCCAGGTTGTTGATTACCATTATTTGATGATTATTATGATTGTTGTTAATTATTTCAGTTTCATTATTAGCATTATCATAATCAGTACCATTGGTATATACACCTTAAGAATCATAAACATTACTATCTCAGTTATCCTTCTTTTGAAAGTAATTTTCTTTCCGGTTTATAATCAGCTATATAACCTATTTCGAAACTATTATTATTACTAACACTAATACTGTGACTAATTATCGTTATTACCGTTGTTGTTATTATTCTATGATGACCATTGATGCTATCCTCATTATTACTATCAGGGTCACCATGATTATCATTGTTATCACTCCTTTTATTATCATTATTGCTATTTCTTTGTGCCCCCAAACATTCAGTTTACTTGTGTTATTAAATGCAAAAATCCCGTGTTAAACCGTTTGTATACCACTAGTCTTTATGAAAACCAATATCACATTTTAAACAAATCGGTATGTTGCACTTGATGATAAACATAATGTACAAAATAGAGGTAGTGAATAGAAAATGAAAATAGATAAATAGATGAAAATAATAATTTTAGAGAAAGTGTATCTCATATAATCAATCAATATCATAATTCATGAATCTTTTATGATGAAAAAAAAAATTAAAACCTATAAGAATCTCTTTTACAGAAAAATTTATTCTATGTTAACGAATTCCTTTTAAATAACAGCAGCAGCAAAGACAGAATAATGCAGTTTATTATGAGTGTAGAATCATATATAGCAATGTCCTAATCTAATAAAGGCACAAAAAATGTACAGTACATGTGCTAGAATTCACAAATCCAGCACAAGAGAAGCACAAAGTATACATTAGAAAGTGATCTCTCATGTGAAAAATTATCAAGTATCTGTGATGCACTCTCTCGTCCTGTGTCTGACTAATACAAATAGGTCACACATTGGAAGTAAGAGCTTAATATTAGTCTTAATATGTCTGTTTTACACTCGGTACAAGGTGTAGTAGCGCCCTCTTGTCCTACATAAACAAATATTTTAGTCACCCGAGGATTTCCCGTTTTCTTTGGTCTTGTTTTTCTTGATATTCTTGTAACGAAATGTCGAAAAGTACAAAGAAATATCTTCATAGAATTCTTTGTCAGGTTTATATTAAAAAAAAAATTGTTGCTGCTCCGTATGGTAGGCGCATATATAATTTACCAGCCGTGTTAATAAAACCTAGTGTTCATGACGGTGCAGATGACTGAGTGTTACACAGACATAGGTTCATAATGAATAAATTAGATATAAACTTTTATTCTATGAGCGTCTTTGGGTGATTTATGTTGCATACAATTCTTATTGATAATGTTGAAATGTGAACTGACAGTTAACAATGTCTCACACACACACACACACACACACACACAACACACACACACACACACACACACACACACACACACACACACACACACACACACACACACACACACACACACACACACATAAATCAATAAGTAAAAGAAAGAAAAGTATACAACATATACAGAATATACAAATATACATATATATATATATACACATTACATACACACACACACATATACACACACAACACACACACACACACACACACACACACACACACACACACACACACACACACACACACACAGTATATATATATATATATATATATGATATATATATATATATATATATATATGTATATATATACATATAATATATATCACACACGCACACACACACACACACACACACACACACACACACACACACACATATATATATATATATATATATATATATATATATATATATATATATATATATTGCACTTGAGTACGCATATTCAAGTTAACAACTGTAAACGCAATAGATATTCAATCAAAATCATGAGAAACTCACAAAGTGTCCTTTTTTTTGTAAAATACGAATAAGATACATGAGTGTATCATTTTCGCATTTCCCCATGTACTGTTGGGGATTTTGCAAAACTAGTAAGTAGGATATGGTGTACATATTTATAAACACATCATATATTATCACACACAAAATATATAGGTGTACTACCATTCACTGGTATTATTATCCTCTACAGGAAAACCTTCAGATGAATATTTGAATAAAATGCTGTATCAGAGTATTCACTTTGTTTCAGAAATCCATAGAAAAGAATTCATTATATAATATCATAGTTTAGCATGGATAGGAATTAATGTAAAGTTATGCCGTCTTTCATCTCTAAGTCAGTGGTTTTAAACATTAGTCACAGACCCCTTTAAGAGTCAATTGAAAGCTATGGAACCATTTCTCCTGAAATATTCTCATAAACAATGTATTTAATGTACTCTTATTTTTTTAGATTTAAATATTTCTTAGACATATGAGATGCGTGAAGCATTAGTAAACTTTAAGGGAAATCAGTCTAAAAAAGGACACTCTTTTTTATGTGAAAAGTATAGAGAATATAATGCTGATTTTTATCTGATCCTAACGGACCCCCCTGAAACCAATCTGTGGACCCCAATTTATGGACCTCTGCTCTAAGCATTAATTCTCTCCCTCTCACTTTGCCTGTCTGCCTGTCTGTCTATGTGTTTATGCTTGTCCCTTCTCTATCTGTATATCTCTATATCATTCTATCTTTTACTATCCTCAGCTTACTGTACAAGATACTATTCCTTGTGTTATCCATTGATCATCATCTTGCATCAGAACAGCAGGCGAGAAGTACGGTGTACACAAGAAACATGAACGTTTTTTTCCGTCTAATGTCAGTACAGTGAATGTTATTTTCCAAAACGTATAATCCAGTACTCAGTTGTAAACACTGCTTTTCTAAAACGGTTTGCACAGAAACCTATTTTTTTAATCGACTTGGTTGGATTTTAGAACCTGACCGTCTGTTACTCTCATTGTTAACTGTCCACAAATAGAACAGCAATTGCACGCTCGCCATACTTACCAAATTCCTACTGAAGCCTCGGTCTATATAACCTAAAACCCGCTAATTGAAGCTTGTTTAGTTTGAGATTCGAACTCAAACTGTTCACACGTTTCGAATTCGCGGATGAGATCTCGCTAAAGCAGGGGGCAGGATGTGAAATAACATCGCCTATATTTCCCTACATTTCATCCCCATATAGTCTCTTTTCAATGCGAATTCTGAAATCAAAAGTGCAGCTTTTCCTTTTATTAACCACGTTTCTTCCTCACAAGCTCGAAAAAAAGAAAAAAAAAAGCCATGTATGTGAGACCAAGCTCGAAAAAAAGAAAAAAAAAAGCGCATCCTATCTTCCTCATACTAACCATTATACCTTTATTCGTATTGCCCAATTTGAAGGTGTAAATACAGTCCTGTATATCAACACTCCATTAAAACAAAATCACGTTAATATACAATACGTTATAACTTAATCACGTTGATATACAATACGTTATAACTTAATCACGTTGATATACAATACGTTATAACTTAATCACATTAACATACAATACGTTGAAAAGTTAACTGAATGTCTCCTTATGGTAAAACGTAATTCTCCCGTGTGAAACCTCGAACTCCCAAGCACCGTTTCCGAAACTTGAATTATACGTCTTGTGTTTCTTTCACTGTGAAATTACACCGCCTCGGAGCGAATTGACAAGGGCAGAACTTTGTTACGCTGTAGCTCGTGTACAATTACGAGCACGTTGCTCACAAGAATTTCTGTTTTTCATTCCGCAGTAACAGGATAGTTTGGTGGATTAGAATCAATTTTACGCACAGGAACACTAGCACAACCCCCTACATACGCACAGCTCGATATACAGATAACCTAAAGAAAGCAGAATAGAGAAGAGAGAGAGAGAGAGAGAGAGAGAGAGAGAGAAGAGAGAGGAGAGAGAGAGAGAGAGAGAGAGAGAGAGAGAGAGAGAGAGAGAGAGGAGAGGAGAGGAGGAGAGAGAGGAGAGGAGAGGAGAGGAGAAGGAGAAGGAGAAGGAAAGGAGAGGAGAGGAGAGGGAGAGGAGAGAGAGAGAGGGAGGAGGGAGGAGGGGAGGGGAGAGAGAGAGAGAGAGAGAGAGAGAGAGAGAGAGAGAGAGAGAGAGAGAGAGAGAGAGAGAGAGAGAGAGAGAGAGAGAGAGTGGCAGATAAACAGACAGAGACAGAGTAAGTGACGGTTAAAAACCGTTATCCGAAAATACCAGTTGCATTGTTATAGTTACCTTGTTTTCCTGATTAAGTACTCCAAGAAGAAAAATCCAGAGAAAATGAAAGGATTTATTTCAAGGAGGCTAACATGGATGCACCCCAGTCTCCCACGCCTTTCAGTAATTCCGATATCCCAAGTCTTACAAGTTTTCCTCGTCGCTGATCTCGGATAAACTGTATTGTAATTCGTTTTGGGGTTCAGGTTAAAACGTGCTTCTGATTTCTTGAATTTAATTTTTATTTACTTTTATTTGTTTCAGTTACCTATGGATATACATATTCATAGGTAACTGTGTGTGCGCGCGCGCGCGCACACACACACACACACACACACACACACACACACACACACACACACACACACACACACACACACACATATATAATATATATTATATATATATATATATATATATATATTATATATAATATAATATTGATGAAATCATCGCGTCTTC